GTCATATCTTTTAGCCTTTTGTTTCTGATCATGGGGCGTTCTTGGCAAAGATACTGGAGTGGCTTGCCATTTCCTACTCCAGGTGGATTGCGTTTAGTCGGAGCTCTCCACTATGTCCTGTCCGTCTTGGGTGTCCCTGCACGGCATAGCCCATAGTTTCTCTGAGTTACTCAAGCCCCTTCGCCACGACAAGGCAGCAATCCATGAAGAGGGCTAAAATACTAGATTAGTATAAATCTAGTAATTCAATGGAATTTAAATAGGTACTGACTGACCAAATCCCCACTGATTCAATGGGCTTACGCTAGTTGCAACTTACTACTGGATTCCGGCCAATGTATGTGTACCTCAAACTTCTTCTTTTTAAAGGAGGGGTGGGACAATTTTGTTGTGACCACAGCATATTGTGCAGCAGAGCTGGGAGGGGGCGGAGGGTTTGCATGTAACTGTGTGTTGGGCACATCATCAGCATGAAGAAAATATATACAATGTGAAGGTTCCCGACTGCAAACGGTGATGTTTCTACAAAATATTTGTCATATAGAAAGTAGCTGAAGAGATAGCACAACATAGCTAGAAGTACCTGGATGGTCTCCTGTTGATTTCCCCAATGGCCTTGGGAAGGAAATCCTACTCTTAAAAATGAAGTGAGTGTCTCCTTTGTTATGTCCAGCTGTGAAAACGTTCACTGAGCATATGTTTGTGGAGTTTTCCAGGAGGTGTGCAAGGAGGTAAGCCCAAATTTGCAGCCATAAAAAAGTCATTTTTATCCATAAAAGAAACGGAGCTAAAATAATGACTTAACCAGTATGAATAAGTTGAACCATTATTTATGACAGCAATAGCTGGAATCGTACTGGTGTTTGTGCAAGATTCACATAAATTGCCACAGATAATTCGATAATTCATAATGTGTAATCGGGTGCATGACAAGATGAGCCCCAACACTTTGTCGGTAGGCTGCAATTAGTTGCTGAAAGCTATACAAACCTTATATGAACACATTAGGATTCTGATCATTGATAATAATAACAATATATTGTGGCAGCACATTCCAGAAGTTGTGAACTGTGTGAAGAAGTACTAACTTATCTTCATCTACTACATATTATTAAATCTTTATGAAATGATAACTAATGACACAATGCGCAGGGTGGTTAAGTTACAGTCTTCTAGAAGTTCTGCCAATCCCACCATTTATTGCTAGGCAAGTTCCAGGCAAGCTTCCCTCAGTAACTGCTTGCTTGAGTGGGATGTTCAAATGGACTGTTATGCCTTAGTGCTTTGGATGTGTATTTAGTATTGCTTTTCTTTACCATTTCACAGTGTGGTATTTATTTGTTCCTTTTAAATACGTATTTGTATATTCATTGTTTTTAGCTTTAAATTGTTATCTTTTAATGATGTAAACTGCCTTTGTTATACTCGTTGTTTTTAGTTCTAAATACGGTCTTGGGTAGTTTTTAAGGAGAAAGATGGGGTAAAAATATTTTTAATAAATACATTAAATAAATAGGGCTGATGACAGTTAAGGAAGAGCTCAAGGACCATAAGCAATCCAACCTTTACAACATAAAGAGAACACAGTCCTGCCACAGTCTATGCCCAATGGACCAAGTAGTTGTATTCTTAAATTTCTTTTATCTAGGTGGGCATGGGGGGGCGATGAAGAATTTGAGGAAAAACCCTGTGCGTTGCTGCCTTTCTATCTAGGAAACTGGGGGAGCTGCGCAGTGTGTAAGGAGATGGATTCTGTCAACTCTTTGTTGGCTGTGGAAGAGTGTGCATGCGTGAATGAACTTGGCAATCTTATTTGGGACTACATCTCCCATATGGCAGTAATTAAAGTAGTGCTGAGGATTATGGTGTTGATAACCTAGAAGTAATTTTTCAAGACTCTGGTTCAGGTGATAGCAATAGTACAGTAAGAGTGCTGTGACCATATCATAAGGTGCTCATTGCTGCTATTCAGTTATTGCTACCTTCTATGCAAAAATATGATGGGCACATCATCACTAAGTAATACTGAGAGGTGGTGGTAGAGTTCTCCAGATGCAGTGCGAACTCCCATCATTGTTGCTATATCCATTCATTGCTACTGTTGTTGGCACCTGAGACTGTTTAGGATTTGCACGTACATTAGAGTAGCATTTGCAAGACCCTATGATTTGCTTTAAAGGCACCTACCATCACCAAACAGATGAGCCACAAGTTTTGTCAGTGTCAATTTCAAAGTGTGTTCCATAAGTTTGGTTGCTTCCATGGTGTGCGTCTCTTGCTTGTAGGGTGTACGGTGGCCTTGTTCAAACAAGCAAAAACTTTCTCCATCGTGGACATTGCTGAATAGCTATTCAAAAAAATAAATAAAATACACTTAGTATTTATATAGCAATGTTTGAATGTTCAAACCACTTTCATATGCACACTCTCTGTTTTCTTTATAAACAGCCCTGTGGAGTAGCTTTGCATTTTTGTTTTAGATATTTTAAAATATTGTACTTGAATATGGTATTTGAATTCTAGCTAGAAACTTGGTTTTGAGACATTTCATGATTTTAGAAAGCAGGGAAATATTTTCCAGGTCTTAGCAGCTGAAGGCCAGTGGTTTGCCTCTTTCTCCTAAGTGAATTATTTTTTTTTTAAAAAAGCAACTAGAGAGTCCTGGCTCAGAATTCACAATCTTGGAAACGATCTTTCATTACCCCTCGTGTGACCAGTATTGGAAGTCCTCTGAAGCAATGGAAAATATATGACATAATGTTTTCTTAGCTCACACCGAGATAGACCCAAGATCTATTTCCTGGACAGGCAGGCACAAACAGTTTAGACCCTGTTACTTATATGTAAATTTAGGATATGTTGCCCCAATGTGCATCCCTCTATACCTCTTTACATTGAACAGCATCTGCCTTTTCGAATTCCATTCACAAATTTGCAGATCCTTAGTATCCCTATTTGTTTTAAACATCTTAAATAATTTGGTATTATCGGCAAATGTGGCCATATCACTCTTCACCCATAATTCGAGATTGGTCACAAGCAATTTAAAAAACAAAACAAAACATTGATTCAAATACAGAGCCACGGAGGTTCTCACTGTTCACAGCCATTCATTTATTGCTACCCTTCAATTTCTTTTAATCAGTTATAAGCCAGGATCTTTCCCCTTATCCTGCTAAACCTCCTCGGTAGACATTCGCTACGCTCTCTGTGAAAGTTACGTAAGTTTAAGTTTACCAGATTACTCCTACATATATGACTGTCAGCCGTTCAAGCTTCTTTCTTTATTACGTGGTCACAGGCCTGAGTTAAAATAATACACCAATAGTAACAAGATAGCCTTTTGTTTCTGATCATGGGGCGTTCTTGGCAAAGATACTGGGGTGGCATTGCCATTTCCTACTCCAGGTGGATTGTGTTTAGTCGGAACTCTCCACCAAATCGCAGAATTGATGCTTTTGAATTGTGGTGCTGGAGGAGGCTCTTGAGAGTCCCCTGGACTGCAAGGAGAACAAACCTATCCATTCTAAAGGAAATCAACCCTGAGTGCTCATTGGAAGGACAGATCCTGAAGCTGAGGTTCCAGTACTTTGGCTATCTCATGAGAAGAGAAGACTCCTTGGAAAAGACCTTGATGCTGGGAAAGTGTGAAGGCAAGAGGAGAAGGGGATGACAGAGGATGAGATGACTGGACAGTGTCATTGAAGCAACCAACATGAATTTGACACAACTCTGGGAGGCAGTGGAAGATAGTAAGGCCTGGCGTGCTTTGGTCCATGGGGTCACAAAGAGTCGGACATGACTAAACGACTAAACGACGAACAAGATAGCAAATAATTATTAAAACATGCACATATTTAGAAAAAATATTCAGGTTAATAAGGCCTTTCTATGAGACATCAGAACAGAAAACAAAAACTTAGCTACAGACTCTGTGACTGGTTTATACCTGCCAACAAATACCACAAATACCATGTGAATGGCCTTCCAGGGCATTCCTTCATAAATGGACAGAGAAGCCTCTGTGGAGGCTACATTCAAACAAGACACAAGTCAAAGACTCAGCTACTCCATCTCCACAGGCACATCTTCATACGGGATACTGTTACCGGCCAAATCTTGGTTCTAAGATTCTCTGGCAAGGAAGCAGGCATAGACACAAACAGCTGAACCAAAGGCACAATTTTATTTGAATAGCAGCAAAGAAAAGGTCACCTGGGACTTCTCTTAAAAGCAGACAACCCTCTCAAATAACTCTAAAACACTAGTGATATAGGACCTTTGTAGAAACCATGTTGGTTATTTTCTAGCAAGATTTGTCCTTCTTGCGATTGATAACTTTCTTTTTTATCCTTTTATTTTCAATAAAAATTCTCCATCAATATGTTTGGAACAGATATTAAGCAAACCCATCTGTATTTTCCTGCCCCCCTCCCAATATGACACACATTGTATGTGTGTTTTAATTGGCATTCCACTGGCCGCTTTTCAGTTCTCTAACAAAAGGCATGTTCAAGCTTTTTTAAAATAAGCTCAGCAATTTCAAGTTTCAGTTCTTCAAGAATTCTTCAGAGGGAACCATCAAGACACAGTAATATGACTGTCTTCAATTTGTCAGTAAGATCTAGAATTTCCCCAGCAATCTATTCTTCTGTTGAACACATTGTACTATCATGAAGGGTTATCTATGCCCATAAAAGGGAAATGTGTCCCTGTTGGTTCCGCTGGACCTTTCACCAGTTTTAAATACCATTGACCATGGTATCCTTCTAAGCTGTCTCTCTGGGATCGGTCTTGGTAGAACTTATGGTGGCTCCAGTCCTTCCTGGAGGGGATAACTCAAAAGGTGGTGCTGGTGAGTCCTATTCAACATCCGAAGGGTTATCTATGCCCATAAAAGGGAAATGTGTCCCTGTTGGTTCCGCTGGACCTTTCACCAGTTTTAAATACCATTGACCATGGTATCCTTCTAAGCTGTCTCTCTGGGATCGGTCTTGGTAGAACTTATGGTGGCTCCAGTCCTTCCTGGAGGGGATAACTCAAAAGGTGGTGCTGGTGAGTCCTATTCAACATCCTGGCCTGTAATCTTCAATTTGTCAGTAAGATCTAGAATTTCCCCAGCAATCTATTCTTCTGTTGAACACATTGTACTATCATGAAGGGTTATCTATGCCCGAAAAAGGGAAATGTGTACCTGTTGGTTCCGCTGGACCTTTCACCAGCTTTAAATACCATTGACCATGGTATCCTTCTGAGCTGTGTCTCTGGGATCAGTCTTAGTAGAACATGGTGGCTCCAGTCCTTCCTGGAGGGGATAACTCAAAAGGTGGCGCTGGTGACTCCTATTCAACATCCTGGCGTGTAGTGTCCCTCAGGGTTCTGTTTTGTCGCCTGTGCTATTAAAGATCTACATGAAACCACTGGGAGATATTGTTCAAACTCCTGTGCTATTAAACATCTACATGAAACCACCGGGAGATATTGTTCAAAGTTTTGGGGTTTGGTGTCACCAGTGTATGTGGATGACATCTAATTCTGTCTCTGCTTCCCATCTAAATATAAGGAAGCTGTTTCAGTTCTAGATCATCCGTGTCTGGTGTCAGCAATAGAATGGATGATGGTGAATAAACTGAAACTTAATCCAGATAAAACAGAGGAGCTCCTGAGCTGTTGAAAAGTAAATCAGGGAACAGAGATCCAACCTATGCCAGATAGGGTAGAACGTCCCCTAAAAACAGAGGTGCAGAGCTTGGGGGATGCTCCTGAATTCATATTTGAGCCTGGATGCCCACGTTTCTGCAGTGGTCAGGAATGCATTTGCACAGTTAAAACCGGTGCATCAGCTGCACACATTCCTGGAGAGTTTAATCTGGCCATGGTGACACAAGTTACATCCTTAGTTACATCCTGCTTGATTACTGCAACTTGCTTGCTGCAACATGAGGCTGCTTTTGGAAAGTGTTCAAAAACTTCAGTGGATCCAAAATGCTGCAGCCAGTTTGTTAACTGAGGCTAGTTATAAGGATCATATAATCCCGCAGTTACTGCAGCTCCACTGGCTGCCAGTCTGTTTCTGGGCACAATTCAAAGTTCTGGTCTTGATATATAAAGCCCTGAATGGCCGGGTCCAAGCTATCTCAAAGACTGCATTGCTCTTTCAGAATCTGATCAGGTCTTAATAGTTTCAGAGGAGGCCTTTCTCTGTGTTACACCACCCTCCCAGGTATATTTGGTGGAGACATGGGAGAAGGCCTTCTCTGTCACTGTTCCAAGACTCTGGAACTCTCTCCCACAAAGAAGGCCAGCCTGGCCCCATCTTTGCTGTCCTTCCACAAGCTGGAAAAACCTTTCTCTTCAGCCAGGCTTTCTTTTAGTGACTGTCTGTCTAGTTTCATTGTTTTAATGTGTTTTAGTACTGCTTTTATCTGCAAGTTAGTACTGCTTTTATCTACAAGTTTTTAATATCATATTTGTTCAATTCTTTTAAAATATTGTAATAATTTAGTGTTTTTAGCTTTTATACTGTTTATTGCAGAGATGGGCATGAACCTCAACAATAGGTTCCCTTCCCCTGCCTCCCTGACTGGATCCCCTCCTCACCAGCTGGCACACTCTCCTCTCCTCCTCCTCCCACTTTCCAGCAGGAGAATGGGCTTCCCTGCCTTGCCTTCTTGGCTGATCACCCACTCAGACAAGGAGGAAGGACAGGCAAACACATGTGCCTGCCAGGGAAGGGCACAAGAGCCGACAAGGAGGAGGAGAGGGGCGCACACTTCAACTACTGAATGGGTCACTGGCTAGGGAGGCAGGGGAAGGGAATGTGTGTACAAATCGGCCTGAACCTCCAAACCGAGATTCATGCCCATCTCTATTTTACTGATAATACTGTATGCCACCTCAGCTTCTTTTTAGGAGGAAGGCAGGATAAAAATATTTTAAATAAATAAATAATAATAAATAAATACCTTGGTTGAATTGTCAGAGAGCAAGCAGATAGAGGGAATCAGGTTTGAACTAAAGGAATGACCAGACCTCTTCAACAATGTAAGGAAAAGGTGTCTTTTTAAACCACCAAGGGAAATTCATGCAATGGAAAAGCAGCAATTTTGCTTTAGATGTATTAGACTGCATAGCCATTGTTCTCTTTTTGGATATGCTTTTTAAGGTGAATTCATCCATAAACCTAATTTTGGGCAGAGCCAACCAAAATGCACGTTTTGCTCCGAATTGGAGGAATTTCAAGAAGATATATTCCACATTTGTGGTTTTCATTTATATTAGACCTTATAAACAACTCCTACAGGTAGTTGTGAAGTGTGAAAAAACAAGTTCAAAAAACAAGGGCGT